CAGACTACTATGGCAATTTTTAAAGTGATGTGTCTAATCTGCCTAATCTGTCTCTTTCTTTGTCCTTTCTCCCTGTGATTCTATAAATAACAAGAATAACTGGCAAAATTACAGTTTCTTATGCCTCTATGGCTTACCTTGTGACACAGTGATGTCTTACTCCTCACCACATCTTGCTCCAGAAGAGGCCTTGCTACAAATTCATTCTTCCACACACTGCCCTTTCAGACTTCTGCCTACACTTCGGTAGCTTTTTAAGTTCACACAGTGTTCACTTCCCAGTCATCAATCCACCTAAGTCATATTTTCCAGATGTAACCGGATACCAGAATCAAAGCGGGTGCATATCCAAATCCTCATTCAGTATACAGGACACAGGTGGGCTGGAGAAGAGGCTGGCTCTTCCTCCGTAGACCTCTCACTTTGCTGGGACTCTGTTTTTCTCCTAGAATGCTCTTTTCATGCCTAGCAGATGTAGAACCACTGCTGGCATGCCAGGTCTGAAGGATGAAAACAAATGGGTGAGAACATATGAATGGTTGTCCCTCAGCCAATACTTCTCTCTACAGGGAAAATGGTGTTGGGGTACAGACGTGCTAAAGCCAACATCTGTGGAAGGAAATATGATTTTATTTATTTATTTATTAGCATGTCATGGATTTTAGCCATCCTCCCATGTGCCACCTTGCCCTGTTGCTTAGGGTGGGAAGGATCCTGAGCTCATGACTCCAAGCTGCCAGCTTTTCCAGCAGTAACACTAGCAGCAGGAGGAGGATCAAGTCTTCATAGCTCTACAGAGCTAGAGACTGACAATCTGCATCAGGTGCAGGCCTTTGCTTTGTGTAGGCACACCATTCTGGAGTGTAGGAGGCAGATAAGTCATCACTAGAAGTGCTCGTGTGTGTGGCAGCACGAATGGTGGCAGAACAGATACTGTGTGGGGGCCATCCCTGCAGCATGTGCAGGAGCTGTCTGCCCAAACGATCCAAGACACAAACTGCGTGAGAGGAGCCAGGGCTCCACCCTGAGACCAAGTGAGAGCTTTGGTGAGTGTCGGAGGAAGGAAGAGCAGTCTGAGCTTCAAGCTGCTCTTTGCGCTTCTTTCAACACAAGCATCTCTTTTGAATAAGGTCAGCCCCAGATACAGCGTGCTCTTTGCGCTTCTTTCAACACAAGCGTCTCTTGAATAAGGTCAGCCCCAGATACAGCATAGAAAGAGACTTATTTCAGAAAAAGACATATCAGACCCTTATATAATAGCATTATTTCCCTCTTGACATGCCTCCTGACACATCCTAGGGTCACGTTTGTCTTTCTCATCACCACGTTACATTCATGATTCATAGTCATTCTGTGACCAACTTGTGTAAATAGGTTCTTCTTTTTCTTGTTTATTTGCAGCTAATAAACTTTCAAACTGCAGCAGACTGTGTTGGTTAGATAGTAACTGGCCATTTTTTGCATTTTGACCCATTTCTTTTACTACAGTCTTCAAAGTCATCTGGTTATTTCAGTTTTAAATGCAATGTTATTAGCATATTAATTTGATTATTTTGATTATCCTCTTCAGTTAAGTTACTGACACAAGCAATCTACTCTCATTTTTAGTACATTTTATAATGAATTTCGACCATCTACCAACCTCATTCTTCAGAATGCAAAACAGGTTTCTCAAATTCAGCTATGTGGAATGTCTGATTAACATTTCTTTGACAGAAACTGTCTCTTTTACATCAGTGAGTGAGGGCAGCATAACCTGGGCCTAAATAAGAAGTGGAAGGAAAGGGAAACAAGGGAGAGAGATGACATATTGTCATATGGATTTTCTGAATGCATACAAACTCTTTCTCTGGCGATTCTTAACTATATTATATGTTTCTTTATTTATAGCACATCTGCTAGAACACACTCTGCTGAATTTCTTGACACAGACAAAATAAGAGAAACATAAGCTTAAAGAATACTTAAAGCTCTACAGCATAGGTGCTGGCAGAGAGCTTATTCATAAATTAAAGATTTGGCGATACCCTCAATATATTCTACCAATGAGGCAGAAACAGCACTTAGCTCGTCCTGTATCTTTTGAGAGGCCTTCTATATTCAGTAAGTGTTCATGGGTGAACTGAAATACCAATTTTAATCTCTAATCTTACCCATCATCTTCTCTTCTATCTTGTAAAGGAAAGTATGAGCAACTTGTCAGCACCCTGCATGACAAAAAGCAGTATATGTGAATAGTGAAGCCAGATCTAGTGCTCATAATATAGACACATTCAGTAACAGTATACTAATTATTTATATAAATTATTGCAGCATATTCAGATTGATTAAAATAGTACATATTTTATGTAGTAGTGACCTCTGCTGTTTAAGGTAGTTATCATCATTACAAACATTCCTGGCAGAAAAATCAACTGCTTTGGAATCAGCAGCTGTTCTATGTCCATAGATAACAGAGACTTAAATAATAAAACTTATTTGTATTATTAGCATTTGCTCTTCAGGGTCTTACACAGGTTCTGTTGCACTTGGTCTTGCAAACTCTCAGGCAACACCCTGCCTCGGATTCGTATGGGGCAGAAGGCCCTAGTATAAGGCATTTTCCAGCATGATGCTACTATAACATTAGACTTTTCAGAGTCATCACATGCTCTCAGCTCAGGTTTTAATCATATTTTAAGATCAGAAGGGGAGTACCATAAAAATGCCCCCCCTTTTTTTTCCTATTAAAAAAGTATAATTAAAATGTATTTCTGGTACATTTTAAGCTAACAGTATTTTCCACTTACCTTTACAGCAAACAGAGATTTCACTCTGAACATTCCTTTTTATTACAGGATAATACTACAGCTAGTGCTGTACGGTTATGCAGAATACCCGAAATGCCTGAAATGCCTGAAATACACGAACCACTTGGGAACGAGCCGAAGGAAATGAAGAGCATTAATCTCCCTTCTTTATTTTGCCTCTCGGGCAAACCAAGAAGCTACTTCAGTTTGGGTGTTGGTGATTTCACACTCCGTTCGTAACGTTTTCCCAGAGCTCCCACTGGGAAGTTCACAAGCCAGACCAAGCCCCTTCCCCGCGGTGACCGTGACCGGCGCCTCAGCGACACC